TGTATAAAGAATATAAAATGAGTTATTAGTCTTATAAACAATAAAATTAACCATTATTAGATATTTATTAACATGAACATATTTCTATCATATATATGGATATGTGTCATAATTTACCTATTATAATAATTAGAATGCGGATTTTATGTACTTATACCACATTCCATAAAATACATACTACTAAAACTAAGTTTATATATAACTGCTGCTCTAAAGCTGTTATGAAAATGTGAATTTACATAAAGATCCGCAGTCTAATGATAACTATTTATTAATACCGTTGCTTTAAAATTTGTACCACTCCAAATAATTAGAAAAATAAATTTATTTGATGTACTGAACACTGATATAAAAACAATGTGAAAAGATAAAATAAATGTTGGCATTGAAATTTCTACAACATTGCATCAATATATGCAATCTACAGTTTCTAAAATAAAACTAACAACTCAAATAATGTAGCAAATACACTAAATATCATTTATTCAACGGGAAACGTGTAATGCGTCTGTTATTACTATTGAGATATTTTGCTAAATCATTATAAAAACAATGGATATATTATACAATGTGACACGTGTTTTTTGCAATGACAAGAGTATTTCTTTTAATATACGTACACTGTAAACATCTATGTTGTGATATTCGCAAAATTATTGTTATTAAACATAATAAAATTACAGAATGCGACAATATTTAAGACAAAATGATCAACTAACCTCAAAAATTTTGATTTCATTCTCCCGTCATAGCCAGTCATGTTTCGGCGCCATGTTAACACTTCAAACATTCGCGCATGTGGAAAGTTCAGAAAATTCATGCAAATTTCTTCCAGTCGTAAAAATATTTTAGTATGAACTTTACACTGCTTATGAATTTTAAAATGAAAAAAAAATATCCCACTAAGACAACGTTTATTGTTTACACTGAATTGAGATACACAAAACAAAGTACAATATTTATAAAAACAGATGAGAATTCTTCACCGGCTTATTATGGGATGATTCGCGATACAACAGCGCCAGTGTCGTCAGCTGCACGTAAACGGCGGTTTTTCACTTGTATTTGAATTTGCGGATAACCGCTACATCCTTTGTAAGATAATGATACGTGTTATTAAGTAGTTACGATTGTGTGTGATCTAACAAAATAAATGTTAATGCTATATTTAGATAGATATATTTATTTTAAAGTGTAAAAATAGTTACGAATATTCTAGATATTAATAAATATTGATATTGTCCGATTACACTTTTGCCAAAAGGATATAGAGAAAAAAAGTACTCAGAAGTACCTTTTATCTATGTTTTACTGAAAGCACGCTTTTAATAAATAGCATAGCAGGGAAGTGACCCCAATATGATAAAATATTCACACAACATTGAGTATTCAAAGTAAAATATTTTGAAAAATATTGAGTTTTCAATGATAGTACCTTGAATCTTTTTTAAAATAACAAAGAATCGATTTATGTAAAAAAAGTGCAATTGCAACTGCATTACTGTATTTACGACAAAAACTAGTATTGGAGTATGATAGAGCTTGTCAAATAGTGCATTGATTTTCTTTACAATCTTTTTTCTATTTTCAATACGAACAGAGGTATAATCTGCCCTAAGTACTATGTACATTCTATATACAGGTTTTAATCTAAAGTATCCTTAAAATGTTAAACATACAATAAGCGTTTTGCAAAATATTCGGATATATTAAAAGTATATTCTCAAATAAAGTTTTATTATTGTCAAATTTAAGATTGAAAAAAATATATTTATTTTAAGAAAACGGAGAAATATAGTCACTGGGTGCTTGATCTCATACTGAAAATATTGCTTTGTTGATGTAAAAATGTTTATGTTTATAAAGTGATACTTAAAACAGAATTCACATTTTTTATTTTTTACAAGAATTTCAAATAAAATTTGAAAGAAATTTCTTAATGCTTACAGTGATTTTTATAACATATCAAATCTCTTTTACAGGTTTTACATTCGATTAATACTTCAAGTGCCAACTTGCCAAAGTCTTAAAAAGGAAGAATGAAACAAAAGTCAATAATCATATTTTTTCTTTTAACTAAGTAGAAAATTACAAGCGGGCATATGACTTTTCTAGTAAGATTTCAATGGTTTATTTCCACTTCAATTTAGTTTGAAAGTGTCCTTGATCTTATCTGACTGTACACTTAGCACTTTTCTAGGTGTGTGAACTGAGTTGTTGATATCATCAGTTGTATTATGAGAGATATTGGCAATTTTTGATCATTTATTATTCACTGATATTATATATAATTCTTCAATGTATATGCCTTCAAATTGGCTTCAAATATTGTAAATTAATTTCTAAATTAATTCCTCATCGTCCCTTTTGCATACAAAATTAGAATGATATATAAAATTTTCTAGAATAAATATACATTTAACTGCACATATGTAAGGTGTTAAATGTTAATATATAATCACTCAATTTTATTTAATTTTTATTTTTCATGTATTAACATTTATAACATTAAAGAAACATATGTTGCTGTTATTATTATTATTATTATTACAAATAATTTGTTTTCAGTACAAAAATATTTTATTATACTTAATCTGTAATGTACATCTGTATATACCAAAAAAGTTACGTATAAAAGATACACTACATACATTAAATTAATATGCAACAACTTATTTTAACCATTACAGGATGTTACAAAAATAATTTATACCATAGAAACAAAATCAAATCGATATTTGTTATTTCATCAATGACAAAACATCACTTATAAAAAAACAAAATAATTATAGGTGAAACAAATAACACATTAATAAAGTTAAATTACTCACAGTTAGTTATTAGTCTCGCAACACACTTATTAAATTATCTTCAAAGTTTAAGTCTGCTCTTGAAGGGTAAACTAGTATCATGTTACCATCCATATCTACTACTTTTATTTGTTCCACAACTAAAGTATGATAATTTGTAGTACTTTCTTGTTCTAAGGAACATCCAAAACCGAGTGTGACCATCTCTTTTAAAAATTGATCCAAAACATTTCTGTTAAAATATAAAACTATTAGAATAGAAAACAAAAATAACAAGACTGTAAGTATATATGCTTAATTCATAAATTTTCATCTCACCTGCAAATACAATAGGATGTAGCACTAGTTACTTCTACCAATATAGTTTCAGTGTTTACTGACATTTTTGTAATATCACTATTCGTTATGGGTGGAAATGATATGACTTGTTCTGAGGCATCCAATAAACATGGAAATAAAGGTTTACCTTCTAATAGATAAAGATACTTATGAATGCCAGAATATACATTGCGCTTTTTTTCTTTTCTTAAATTATCAGCTTCTGTTTGTAATTGTTGGAATAATGCAGCTCCAGTATAAACCTTATTATATGATAAAGGTTTAATTTCTAACAACGTTGGAGGTTTTGCAGTGTATACCAAATCACCTACGTAATTAGTATAATATTAGAATATATTTTCACACACTTAATTGCCAGGTTTCTAAATATATTTACCAGGTTTGAGTAATTTAAAATCATGTGTAGCAATGGTAGCCGCATTTCTTTTTTCACATATTCCATCATGTAATTTAGTCTGAAGTTGAATAAATTTTTTGAAACTATCATCTGTGAATTTCACATGTTTAATAATACAAGCTGCGATATACGGTCTAATGCTTTTTACATGTTTCGTAATTTTGATTAATGGTGTATCATCCGTCACTTTGAAAACTTTTAATTTGTGCGATAAACTATTTATTTCTTTAACAATACTTTCGGATTCTGAAAATTTCTGTGCTTTCTTGCCCTTTTTCCCTTTGGCATTTGAAGCAGTTGAACTGCTAGTTACAGGACAATGTAACTTAATATATTCTATTATTTGTTTAGTGCGACATTGATCAACCAATTTTGATAATCTTTTATCTTTCAAAGTGTTTCCTTTCAGATATAATTCTTTTAGTTTATTACAATCAGCAACTTCACCAGGTACAACTGCAACATAAATATTTAATGAAGTAAATTTTTAAAAACAAAGAATATAAGGAGAAATTAAATTAATAATGTATGAAATGTCTATATATGTTTCAAGGGTATTACCTGAAATTGAATTATCAGCTACATTTAATATTTTCAAAGATGGTAATTGATTTATAGTTATAGGGATTTCCTTTATTTCATTTCCATTAACATAAATCTCAGAAAGATGAATCAGTTCTGCATAACACACATCAGGAAAGTTTTCAAATTTGTTGTTTGATAGATTCAAAACACTCAATTTAACATTAGCAGCTTGGCTAGGCAACAAAGTCAAAAGATTTGAACTCAAGTTCATCGTTGTCAATTGCGGAAGTTTTCCGATTTCATCTGGCAAAGATGTTAATTTGTTCCTGGAGCAATCGAGAACCTTTAGTTTTTCCAATTTGTCAATAGTACTGGGTATTTTTGAAATCTGATTCGAGTGTAATACTAAAGTTGTAAGATTCTGTAATTTTTCAATTTCTTCTGGTACTTCTTCCAAACACGTCTGTGTTATATTTAAAAAGTTTAGGTGTTGCAGGTTAAATAAAGACTTGTCGAAACCTCGTTTTTCAATTAATTCCGATATAACCGGTCCTGACAACACCAATTCATGTTTGTTTTCTGCAGCGGCAGTTCTGATCACGTGCCACGAATTGTCAAGAGTCATTATTTTAAAATGTAATTGAAATTCGTTTGATATTTATACTCGTATCATTGATATCGCTCGAACGATATTTGCCGGGAAATGCACTTGAAAATGCGTGTGTAGATGTAGTTTACGAACACCTACAATAGTACAGAGGACTTTTGCAGAGGCGACACCAGCGTTTTCAGGAATCAAATTCTAATGCGCATGAGTGTGTGCTTATCTAAATCGTTCCATCGTGAATATAACTCCAGAATGTCGCAATATCGATATGTAATGAAAACTTAAAAATAAATTCAAATAGCGAATGAGATATTTCATTTCAAATTTTCTGATAAAATAATGTAAGAATATATGCAGCTTGAATATAATATTTTATTTTATATAACAAAGTATAGAATTTTAGGATTAATAAATTTGAAAGAAATTAAAAAAAATCTTTTTAGGTATATACTAAAATATATAATAATGTAATATGTCTATGTACATATATTGGTTTCATTAAATAAAGGAATAAGATAGTTTTGAGTTGATTTTAAGATTAGAAATATACAGTTAGAAATTAGTGAATAATTTTGGTGTGAACTGTTCATGTTAATTATATTCATACGTGTTCTAATAAATGTAAATCACCAGGCAAATACAATTCAGGAACTTAAGGAAACAATTATCTCGTTAATGTAAAGAGGGAAAGGGTGAATTTATGTTTAGGCAATTTAACTGTAACATAGAGAACATACTAGATACGCATTGAACCGGTTTTAAATAATTCCTTGTTTCGATATGGTTTTTCTTATCGGTGAATTACAGTTATAGTTAGAAACAGCATAATGAGATCCGGAATTTCATTAAAAATTTTAACACGTTATCGAAAAATTCAAAATATTCTTTTATAATTGTTATGCAGTATGCATGAGAGGACTGTCCGTCAGGGGACAAATGTCGGGTTATGTATACATGATTCATCGACTGTTATTATAAATTCGACGGAAATGGGAAGTATGACAGATATTATAAATGATCGACCGTTGCGTGCGAAGAGATTTTTACGGAAATTTCCCAATAAAAGAAATATCATAATCCATAACGGGCTCAGTGGGAATATAAAGGAGGACTTTATTACCGACCTTCGATGGTCTCAGTCACCGGTGTGAAGGATCTAGCAAGGTCCTCAGGAAATATCCAGTATCGATAGAGTCCAGCGAAATTTGCATGTGAATAAAGTGCGAAGGAGGATGTTAATTTTAGTCAGCGTGAAAGAACGTCTATAACGATATGTAAATAATACTTTGATATTTCAAAGAACAATGTAACTATTACTGAGGAATACTATTAATGGATTTAAGTAAACTCTTGTGGTTTATTTTTTGAGTCTCTAAATAGTGATCATTGTCTTATTCATTTTTCTTATAGAGCAAGAAAAAATGATAGCAATTTCTTTATATTTTGTTCCTTATATAACAGCAAGTAAAGCAATTCTGAGGGTCAAATAATCTAATAATAACTTCTATTAAAAGTACAAACTTGAATCGTAACATTACACGTTACGCTATCACATGGTCGCTTTTAAAAAGAAAATAACGTTAATTTCAAATTTTTCATTTCTTCATCAGAAATATACGTTTCTTCTATAGCTGGATACAATTGGGTGTGAATTGAATAAAAATGGATTTCTTTTTATTAAATCGAAAATAAGAATACTGTAGAAGAGAAGTTTACAGCACTTAATTTTTCGTATTACGTACCTTGACGAATATTATTCTATATATGACAATTATAAATGCTGTCCGGTGAGTCGTGGGAAGCTTCTTGAAATCAAGCTAGCAAATCTCGACTTCCTGTTACCCAAAGTCCACGGTTATCAGAGACTGTCCCCGATCGCTTCCGCATGGAAGCATTGAGTAGTTCCGCGGGTGGGGTTTCTCCGATGTGTATAAAGTCAGGAAGAATCGGCCGATTTTCGTCAGTGGAATTGCTTCGAATATCAGAAGAGATCCCTGTTAAACGCCACTTTTTCTATAAATAAATCCACCATGAGTTTCCATTGTTCGGTTATTTATTTGTTCGTGTTCGTTCTTGTAACTTTTACATCGGGCTGGCCATTCCAGCGCCGCGACGTCCTGGATAATTCAGTGGACAGTCCCGAGGGAGTGATCGCTCATTTACACCACTTCGGTGAACTTCTTTACCAGTTCCCAGATAACGCAACAGGAGCTGCTGTGGCGAACTGGCATGAGGGTTGGGACCGTAATCCGGAAGAGTTGGGTAGCTACGCGGAGGGTGACATTCTGTTTCCACCCCAGCTGGGGAAAAATGGTTTAAAAGCGGAATCCTCTCGTTGGCCAGGTGGTGTTGTTCCTTACATGATCAGTCCGTACTTTAGTAAGTAGTATTACGTTTTTTTATTTATATTAACGTACAGGACAGGATTTAACACGTTCACACCGGCGTGTACTACCGGTGGTACACAATTAATTTATAGCGTTAAAATAAATCAACATTAATAAGTAAATCATTTATTAAGTTGTTTATTAACATTTACCTGCAATTAGCAATTGAAGTCAAAGAACTAGACACGTAACAAAAGAATGCACTCCGGCATTATTTTTGGAAATATCGTTGTTATTACGATCTATGATTAAACATATAGAAAAATATCGAATTAGTAACGTGTTCCGTACTGAATCGATCAGATCTGATTTATCATGTAATTTATGTTGAACACTGTTAATCGACATATGATTCTATTTGCCTTTTGATCAAAATACTAAACAGCCTGAAGGGAAATTCCAGTGACCCACGCAGCGCGGAACGTGTTAAACTGGAAAGTGAACGATATTTTTTTCGTTTCTGTAAGTCAAACTGACTAGGTTTTGTTGTTCGATATACAACATTGATCTTGAGGGTTAATGAACTGCAGTAATGTGTTATGAAAATATTATTTTCTTTGTACTGTAGAACTGGATAGAATACTCTATAAAATGCTATATTTATGATTTTCATGTATACTTACTTTGTTTAAAGAAAGAAAAGTTCACGATCCAGAAGGAAGTTGATAGTCATGTCATAATTTTATTGTAATTATTATTATCGTTAATTCTGCAAATGTTTTGAAATTATTGTAGAATGCTAATAATAAAATGGAAATGAATTAATATAATTTATTAAAAAATACAATAGATGATAATGTGTTTGAAGTATAAACTATATACGTTTGGTTATAGAATATTTTTAAAATTGTGAAATTAATTCTTATTATTCAAAGAATTCGTTATAATTCTAAAAAGACATGAAGGGATGTCAAATCTTTATATGTATGTACATATAGTTTTGTTTTCATAGAGTGTTTTATAATACCTGCAGAAATGAGAATTATCTATGAAAGGGCTAAATATTTATTTCTACGATCAAAAGTTTTTCAACAATAGGTACTTTACTTTGTGTTTTACGATTTAAATTCTTTTCATATTATGTACTTTTGTAATGTTATTTGTAATGTCGTATTTTACAAGGTATTGATGAGCCAACAGAGTTCTACGTAAATCTAAAAATAAAAAGTAACATTTCCTGAAATTAAAATAAATTTCAGATGAGAAACAGCGAAAATTGATTCAAGACGCTATGAACGATTACCACAAGTACACATGCATAAAGTTTAAACCTTATAATGGTGAGGAGACCGATTATATCAGGATCACAGCTGGCGAGACTGGTTGTTGGAGCAGCGTAGGAAGAATCGGTGGACGACAAGACGTGAATTTACAAGTTCCAGGTTGTGTCGTGAAAAAGGGCACGGTAATACACGAGCTAATGCACGCAATAGGATTCTTGCATGAACAAAGCAGATACGAGCGGGACGAATTTATTTGGATTCAATGGAATAATATTTTGAATGGTATGTGGTACATGAATGGCGTTAGTATATTCAACGCAACGAGTTATCATCATTGTTAGTTAAAAATGCTTTTTTTGTAATTTAAAATAAGATTTTATTTGATCCTATAGTTACGGATTTTTTTTCATAAAACAATAATGGTAATCCCATATTTGCCACAAAATCTATGTTACTACATTTTTCATTTTAATACTATCAATTCTATGACTAAAAAGATCGGATTTTTAAATAAATTTTTAATACTTCCTTCCTCTTCTATTTTTACATAAGAAGAACATTCATGTGTCGTACTAAAATCTATAGGTATTTTCAAAATACCCCTACCGTTACCATATGTCGTTATTTATTTAGGTCATGCTGGAAATTTTGAAAAAGCGTCCAGACAGACCACTGACGCGTTCGGTGTCGGATACGATTACGGAAGCGTAATGCATTACTCCGCAAATGCGTTTTCCAAGAACGGTCAACCTACCATAATCCCAAAGGTGAGCAATATATTAAACCGAAGTTATCAAGGTTTATAGCTGTCTGAATTTTTGACGATTCTGTAAATCAAAGTTTCCTAAATTTTATGAGATTTATTGGTACCTGTTCCCATATCATATTACATTTCACCGTTGATTTATTAAAAAGGCTTTGTTTATCATTGAAATTTCTTAACGCCTTGTGCTGTTGTTTAGATCGAAGATCACACGAGGTGTTAATGCTAACTTTTCTGTAAACATAATACTATTTTATGAATAATAATATAAAATAATGATAATACAAATTTTATTTGTAATATTATGTATCAAAGTCCAATGTAACCATATAATTAATTTTGATACGTATAGAATTTTATGCGAGAATGTATAGGAACTTCACAGGGAAATCATAGAAAATGAATGAATTTTTGGAATGTTTGTTAAACAAATGGATTCATCTAAAAAGTATGTAGATGAATTCGTTATTCAGGAACATGTTATTTTCAAATTTAAGCTCTCAGTTAAAGCAGTTTTTAAAACGGTCGATTGGAAATAGGTTCTTTTCATTCATCTTTCAGAATTAACTTTTTTTCAATATGTGGTTTTTTGAACGCTTTGTTTGTGAAACATTTCAGAGTACATCGCAGATCCAGCTGGGGCAGAGAGAAGGGTTCAGTAAAAGAGACATTCAGAAAATACGGAAGATGTATAGATGCAGTAAACGTAGGCGAAGCAGTTCTTATTAATTACAATAACGATTTGGACGGAATGTTGATACTTTCTATCGGCTTATAAGGAAAGGGAGGAAAACCATGGCGAATCTAGTCCTTTAGAATTAAGATTACTTATGTTAGTATAAGTTTATAATGTCACTCTTTGAAGTGGATCCAAAAATGGTTTTAGAAAAACGATCTTGTATTGACGTTGAAAAAAATTCGTGTAATTGCAAAACTTTTTTCATATATATGTGTGTGTGTGTGTGTGTGTTGAATAATAATATTACTTTGTATGTAATCGTGGATGAAAAATAAATGCATCATAAAAAATATAATTGTAAGTTTCTTATTATGCTATTCTTCGTAATTATAGAAGTATATCATTTGTAAGTTAATATTATATATTAATATTGTGCAGTATGCCACTCTGTAAGTAACATGGATTTTATTTCTATTCGGTAAAATTGAATAACCTTTCATTTAAACTGATTAAATAATAATGTATTCACGAATATTAGATAAAATTATTGGATTTCCCACGATATCGACCCTTAAAATGTCTTAACACACATAGTTTTAAGGAAATTCAGACCAGAAGTTTATTATATTCGAGATTTCTTTAAATATATGGAAATCAATTAAATTACCAACGTGTACACGTAGAAAATACATATCTTGTTTAGTAACAAAAATTATATTCACATAATTTTTTCAGTTAAACTATTATAATATGATAAATTAAGTAGATTTTTTGTCATGTCTATTTTCAACATTTGTAATAATTAGAAAGTCAGACCTACTCCCGCAGATTTTTAATATTTAATACATTAAAAGTATTAAATAAAATTAAGAGCAAATTCTTAACTACATTCTCATTAATGAAATTAAATCATAAATAAATATATTTTCATCTTAGGCACTGAACATTTTATACCCATATTAAGAATAATTAAGAGTTAATATAAAAATGTAGGTTTTAAGCACATGTAGTAAATATGTCTGGCTTAATTAGAAAATAATTGATTACAAAGATTTTTATAGTAATATTTATTTTGTGACGTGCAAGAGAAGAGGGCATTGTAGAATTGGGGATTATATCGTGTATATACAAGACGATATGCAAATAATACCTTTTCATAGCATCAACGTCGTACTTGACATCTTTCAGACGTCAGTGTCAACGACCTGAACAGTTTTGACGTATCATTATTACTTGAGCAGAATCACGTAGCCGTGTTTACTGTAGGACCCATGCTGAGATTTAACATGTGAAACTTTATCCGAGTTCTATTTTTAGAATATTTCAAATATTAATTTCATACCTTGTTACTGTCATATCATTATGTATATTACATCGCTCTAAAAGTGTACTAATGATGATGTTATTGCAAGTGCTACTGCTGATCTCATTTAACGGAGTATTTAATCACTACATTTCTTGAATGCAAATGATCAGGTTTGGTTATTCTTTGTACATTCAGTTAAAATTTGAATCATATTAGTGAAATTACTTATGGCATATTTTGATGATAGAATTTACTGAAGGTTTAAATTAAATTTCGTTACCTTTCACATGCGTAGTTTTAATAGAAATTTCAAGGAAAATTTGTAATTAAACTTTATGAAATATCATTTAGAAATTCCATAACTTATTTTTAATCAAAGTATTAACGTGTCAGACCCGTGATGAAAATTTCAAACAATTTTAGCAAATGCAAGTGTCATTATATTTGACTGAGTTGAAATTCAATACTGTTTTTCTATTATCAATTATTGATCATTGAAGTGAATATAGAATAAACATAAAATTCTTCTTTTTCCTTAGTAAATTATTAATGATAAGGTAGATCTAGCGAGAGAAGTTGTGAAAGAAATTACAAGACAAGAAATTAAAGGAACACAGTTTATTTTATTCTTTTATTGTTAGAAGCTACAAGCTCCTATAGCTACAAGTCTTTTTAGGTGGTGGCAGTTTTTCTTCTTTGTTTTCCAGAAACTAAAGAATAAAATTTTCAATATGACTTTAATAAACCATATTACTTACTAATGGTTAATATATTTGTATTCGGGGAGGTTAAAGCTTTGAATGAAGATATCGCAAATTCGTGCAAATAAATACTATCTCGATAGTAACTCGTGAGCCACACCTTTGGTCCACAGGTGTAATGGTCGGTCAATATCAACTTGTTGACACTTTAAATCGAGAGCCTCTTATTACTTAAGTGTCCTTGATTGCTTCCACATGGAAGCAGTTATACTATATCTGTATCAGCCACGCCTATTTTGCAGGATAAGGAATAATTGTCTTTCTTAACGAAAATTCGCGTCGCGGTAAAGTTAATTAATACGTATAACTTTATATTGAAAAATTAAAAACTGTGCAAACATTAAACGTTTATTTTATCCATTTAGTATAACTATATAATCAATCAATTTTGTATAAACCAATATAATTTGCAATTAAAATAAAATTTCAAAATCGTAAGTTATGTCAATTTGCAGGGTAATGGGGAGGAAATGTATTAGATGTTTTATATTCCTTTTTATTTCTATATTTGCAATATTACATTTATGTTAAGAATTCGATTGTTTCCTGTAACAGTAATATTGCCAGGCCTATTTCAATCTTGGCTTTCATAATTTTCAATTATCATAATTATCTCAATTAATTTTTATAGTAATTTATATCTTATGTCGCAGAAAGGTTATATTTAAATTGAATTTATTTGTAACGGAAATAATACCACGTTTTTCAGTAACATCTTCCCGTATACTATAAATAAGTAACGATTGCTTACATTACAAAACCTTCATTATCTAATCTAATCATAACACACACAGCTCTTAAAGTCGAGACTTCGGAGTATAAGCTAATTTGCGATTCTTTAATGAATTAATTATAATCTCTGGTTAGCAATTATCGATCCTAAATGTCACATATCTAGTATTGAACTATTACGCAATACGTACAATTCCTGTATGTCATTCCATCCCTAATGATGTTAAATATAAAAGATTCGACCAAAAATTCGGATAATTTTTTTTAAAAGATTAAACTTATACTCTAAAGTCTTAATAGTATGAACTGTATGTTGTCAGGCCATGAAAGCCACAACTTTCTTATTGTGATATTGATCAATGGTTGAATAACTATTTTCAAATGAAGATAAAGCGTTCGTTCTGAAATGTTTTTTCCCATAATATAGTCTATACAAAAATATTCAAAAACATCCGAAAATTTAATAATTTTCTTCAATCTCCATTATCGTTCTTTAAAATATTTTAGTTTACAATTCATCAATTCTTTTTAATAGTCTTTATTTTGCTGGATATATATCTTAACCCATACTATAAAGAATTTACAGTGCATTCTACTATTGAAATTTGCTTCTATCATTCTAATACTTCTAAAATTTAATTTCAATGAGCCATTTGAAACTTTCAAACATATTAGGAGTGACCGATACGAAAATTATAATATACTAGTTTACAAATACAGGTGAAAATTTGTATTTTTATTACGATATTAAAAATAGTGTAAATTGTACCTATTATTATAAAGCATATCGTGTTATTATTGAACTATTTACAATAAGTCATACCTTTTTTCTAAAAAAAAGGGTTAAAAGTTGAAATAATGACCGTTACTGCTTACATGATTTTTCCTCACTGTCACACTTTAACAAATTTTTCGTATTTCTTAGGGATCGTTTTCTTTTAGTCTCCTGTCATTGCAACCGTTGCATCTGCTTTATTTGCCAAAATATTGAGTCGAATTTCTAATTTCGTCAAGTTATACTTCCATAACAATCAGGAATTGCGTATTTGTAATTGAATAATTTTGTTCGTTACGACTAACACAGATTTTTCATTTTTCTCATGTCTACTCGCCACATAAAAGTATCATCGTGTATTATTCAAATGAAATCTGAAGATTATATAAACTAAATATTGATTACCGTTTCGCATCGACCAATGATAAATTTATTTCCGTAGATGATCAAGTTTTGATTCCAAAATGTATACTCTTCTTCATTGAAAAGCTTTGTTCACCCCACCCAAGTTCTTTTGATAAAGTCAGCAGCCCGTTCACCTATCATGATTGCAGGCGCGTTTGTATTACCGGAAACAACCTTCGGCATGATGCTAGTGTCAGCCACTCTGACGCCTCTTATGCCCCTAACTCTCAACTGATTATCTACTACGGCGAAAGGATCGTCCGATGGTCCCATTTTACAAGAACCAGCTTGATGATTTTCTGGAGATGTATCATGCTTCACGGCGCATTGCCAGTAAGCGTCACAACCAAATTTCAAATGTTCGCAGTTCTTCACCGGTGTACGGTCCAATTGGAGTCCATATCTGTAAGATGAACAGAATTTTCCCGCTTTGATTACTGAAAATTAATCTACCTAACAAACGAAAATTCACGTAAAAAGTTTATGGACACATCCTAATGTTATGATAACTATATTCAGCATTTGTTCGAAATGTCATGGAAATAAGTTCATTCTCTTCTGATACTGATATATCTCTAAACTAACTCCTTGCCATACAGTATGGAGTCAAATTCGCGAGGAAGATCTCAAATGGTTAAAAGAACTAAATGTTCTACACTCGATTATTTTGATTTCAAATCAAATACTATTTTTTTATTATCAATTGTTGCACTCTAAAATAAATATGTTATCACGTGTCTCAAACAAGAATACTGGCGGGGCGGTAGAGGGTCAAGAGGAATCTTTCGTTAGATCTTTTGTTTACAGTCTCAATTTTATCTATAATTAAGGACATCAAAAATATAGTAGGGACAGATGAAAACTGACCATTTTACTTGCATTCCTTTCGCTAGCATTTCTGTCTGAGATGCATAATACATTAGACCAGTTCAGACAAAAGAATTGTCGTACCTGCTGAGAGCGTCTGTCTCCGCCAACTTAATGCTGAACTTAATACCCTCAACAAGGCCGGCTACGTCTTCGGCGTGGCTCAGATATTTCGGGTAAATCAGTGGCTTCGAGAGGGGATCGTTATTTCGCAAACGAAGGTAACCGCGACTTTTTGGATGTAGATACGTTGGGATAATGTAGATAGAGCGGTTTGCACCTTTTGACTCGCCAACCATGCCGGTTTCGGCGCAATCTGCCAAGTAACCGCCGAAAATTAGCTGGATATCCGGGTGGTCCTCTTTTGGATTCGCGTATTTTGAGTTCACCATGGCGGTCACTTCGGATATGCCTAAAACATGTCATAAAACATTCACAGGAACAAAGTCGTACAATATGTTTCATGTGAAAAGTAAAATACTCTCTTTAACAGAAATATATTCTAAACAAACTTCTAAAAAGGCGAATGAAACGAAATGAAAATCATTGTAATTAGAAAATGTTTGAAAAATTGATTTACAACTAAAATCAGCTTGGTGATTTTGTTTTGTTCCTGAAATGCAATATTTCCCTTACTCGTTACCAATTATCATAAAATAATAATGCCACCAGATTGAAGGGGGATTAGAGAACGTGTTTCTCGTTGTTTCTTAAAATGGATGTTACGTAAAAGTAATACATAAATTCCATGCATGAAATTCACGCTGAGAATAAATCTTGCAATTACTTTAATACAATGAGACGTAGATAGCGGCATCATTGTTTGTTATCACAATTTGCAACATTCATATCCCATATAGAAATAGCTTAATGTTGCATAGTAAGCTAACTAATACGAACGAGGGAAACAAAGGATAACTGAAATTGCTTAATTTGAGAGTCCGCGAGTGGTTGGAAGAAATAGTGTCACGATTTTGATATTTACTGTATCTAGGATCAGAACCGTGTTTAATGAACTTGTATACGATTGGAAAATTATAGTTTTTCTTGTTCAAACACCTACTTTGAGAAAAAACTATCCACTGTTTTTGAAGAATGTGAAGGAGTGCAGTTTTTCTACTTGTTTATTTACATTTTCATAATGATGTTTTCGCAGTGCTTTTGAAAGTTGAATATTCTTGCAAATTGGTGCAATAGGTTTCAAAAGGTAGTTTCTTTTGCTGGTTTATCCGCGGATCCGTTTTCTGCAATACCTTCTTATGTGAGATGGAATTCATGCGACGGTAATTACCTTTTCTCATTCCATTGCATCATGATTTGTATCAAAAATACTCAAGACAATATCATCATTACTGGAAAGGTTTGAAATGGAATCGATTGCATATTTTGAATCAGTGAATATTGCGTACTGCTGACGTGGATTATACACAGCGGGAATCATTATTTGACGTATTGTAATGATCTCGGCAATTATTCCACATCCCGTGCTACTGGGTATACCTCATTAAATCAGAACTAATGTGAAATGCACTTTAAACATTGTATTTGGCAACTAACGACTTATGGAAATTGGATATACGTTTTGTAGAATTCAAAAATTGTCACACTATATTGCAATTTGCAGAATATGAATGTGTTTGTTATTGATTTAGATTTTGAGTTAATCGAATTCCATAGTGAAGCAGGAAAAAATATTCATAAATGAATAACGTTGTTTGAATGAATATTATAAGACATTCGAAATGCTGTGGTTATTATATATAAATAGCTGGTATACGAAGTATTCAGTTAAAATTCATTTCTGAATTTTCTGCTGCAATATTTAAAATAAGTTCGTATAAAAATCTGCACATGATTTTCTACCGTTAGCATCCCCGGCCTATTTGGAGTCACAGAAATCACACAAACATCTTTCCTCTGCTAAGAATTCGAAATAATCGATTTATTTACATTAGTAACTGTGTAATGTTGGTTACGTTACCGTCATGAGACATGCGATTGACATATTTTTAATACATAATTCAATAGCACGATGTAAAACTTCAAGTATCGAGCATCATTATGTACAAATGAAAGGAAAGAATCTTTTGGGACAACCTAATACATTAGTCACATTTATCTTATTGCATGAATACTTTCGTCTGTTATTATTTGTTGTTGATCACGCGTGAATGAACAGTATATACAGCCAACCTCGTGGTTCCATGAGATGGTTTGGCAAGGGAGTACCAGAAAATCCTCAAATGACCGACTTCTAACTCAGCTTTGAACTAAATGACGGTAAACACACCGATCGGAACCCGGTTGCATCATCGTTGATCGGTGTACATGAACCAGATTATTGTGCAATACGCTTTCACTGGATAACTGCAAAGGAGCCTCTCTGAATCAATCGTTTCAGACACAACTGGTTTGTTTGGACGAGTTTGCCTTTTTCTTTTTAGCCACCGTTACATCCCGGATGCGTTTCTATTCGATGAGATTTTGCGAATTTTTATACGTTACACTTTAAGTAAATCTGAATCAATATTCAAATTTTATATTAACTTTTCAGAAAAGTTTGATACCTCTGATTAGAAAATGTGCAGGAGAATTTTCTTTCATTTTACGGTCATCGGTGACCGAAACTTCCAAATTGCTTAAAAACAATTACAATGAGAAAGTTGGTGTCGACTATTTCTCTTTATTATGAAAAAATAAGTATTACTATAGAAGACGCTCGAAATTCTCGAGGCAGTTAACGCGTTAAAAGTTATTTACCTGTTCCAGACATCAAGCCATCTCTGAATAGTAAGTACTCCATCGCAGTGGCCCAATTAAGAGGAGTGGTGTCGGTATCATTGATAGTGAAAACTAACGTGTAGGCGACATGGTTGTGAAGATTCTTGCCAACACCAGGCAGATCATGTACGACCGGAACGCCAACCGCGTTCAAATCCTCTCGTGGCCCAATACCGCTGTTCAGAAGTATTTGTGGTGAATTTACGGCACCTTGAATAAAAAAAAGACGTTGAAGGTGTTTGCAGTTTGTTTTTTTGTCCTAAGATTTTTGACTACTCTGTTAGAAATATGCATCGAAAGACAGTTACCTTGTAAGAATCAGTGTAATCAATTTTTTTGTTCACTAACAATAGTACTGTTTGCCTCTTTTTTTCTGAATTTTGTTCTACCAGCTAAAGAAATAAGGGGACAAAGAAATCCGACCGCAATGAGTCTTCGTGTCCCTGGGATTCGGTAAACATGTTCATACTTCATCGTATGCCGTTTCGCTTGCGTTCTTTGTTGTTGGACTCGGCCAATAACAAAGACGCGCTGAATCTAAGGGGTTATTGATGCCATAACTACTGGTCAGAGCGCTGGGAGTGGACGTCTCCCCTTGCCCTCCTGCCTTTTTAGCCGGTAGAACGAGCCACTGGACAAAAGAGGCGAACTGTATGTAAACGAGGATACCTTTCTTTTGTTTCATATCATTGAGCTATCTGCGACATTAACCCATTATACACCTATTCCTCTATTTACAGCATAAAAATGAATATTTATACAAAAAAGCATTAAGTTTATAATACTAATCAACAGCAGTGTGATTCATAATTATTAAACCAGAACAGCAAGTAGTTGTGCGCCTATAAAACAAAAATTTTAAACGTAGATAACCTTGGGGTTGATGTTCTTCGCATTGTAATTATCTAGTATCTCTTTGTAAGATGCATCACCGGTACATTAACCGAGTGTGTCCCCTTTCGTTACGATCTTCATGCTTTTTATTTTCTGAAGGACACGCAATTTCTGTCATCAACGCAAGAATCTGTGCTTGATTATTGTTGAAACAGTGAGACGGGTTATTTAGTTGGATGCAAACAATTACACTGTGGGACAACACAGTAGCATCTCGCGTAATTATACGCGTGAACGTCATTAGCGATGTTAACAGTGCTCTAATCTTTTACCTAATGTTTCTTTTTTATTAAACTTAATGTGTTACTGATTACAACTTGTGATTTGTAAGACAGGCAATCTGTAAAACTCAACATTAGAGTAATATATCACTGATTGTAAGATATATTGAATGTAATATTTTCTCTGTACATAATTTTTTCGTGTATTGCTATTGAAATGAAGAACTTCCAACTACAGCTCTTCAATGCCATCAATAATTGAAATCACCAATCTCCAATCAACGTTTTAAGCGAAGAGTATTTATTTTAAAAAAAATGGAAACTTTTTAAAATGTTGCATTCGTTTCATCAAATATCTGTTTCATGACTATCCAGGAAATTATAGTTCCATGTATAATCATCGAACTCCTGAATTGGACGAAGCAATCAAGGAAAAGCAAACTTCATCGCAACGAGACTATCTCGGTAACAAATGTGTTACTGGAGATGTGAGATTTCGTCACTAAAACGAGTTCCTTCGTGATCTTCTATTTTAATGGAAACATACAGCAGACTGCCAATTCTATCTTACAAGCGTTTACAAATGTTTATAATGTGAACATATAATGTAATAGAAACATCTTGTAAATATTGTATTTTGATTTTAAAATATACATAAATTCTTCTTAAGAGATATTTTATAACAATTGCTATCTTCCAATTTATTGTGATTCAAATATATCTAATCCACTGAGCTATTCGCTTGATTTGACTTGGAGTTTGTTTATAACACTTAATACTCCTTACGTGGGAGAAAGTTTAATTAAAATGTGCGTTATATACCGTTACATAATATCTTAACAACGTTCTTTATCAATTTGTTATTATCTTTCACACATGATAAAGTAAGAATGTATTGCTAATTTAAATTCAAGCTTCTAAGGTTATATATAACAGTTTGTATTAGGATCACTTTGTGCTAAGAAAAGTGATGGTATACTGCTGTCTTGTTAATTATAACTGCACGTTCATGAAGTTATATGATACTGATGAATGATGTATTATATAAAAGACATTTTTTTAATGATTAAGCACATAAAATAAAATTGGTTATAAGCCATAATTTTGCATATGTTTCTAATTAAATAAATCTTATTTTGTCTAATAATTCACACTCTAGTTATCACACATTTAGTTCATCTCGCGAGAAAGATATAACTGAAACAATTTACCGAACAATTAAATTACATAATTACGATTACTTCAAGTAGTGGTGTAATATAGTGTTATTATTTTAATTATACAGTATTATTATCAAAATATAATAATTTGCGTTACCTCCACTTATGACGACTTCCTTAGCTACCGATACGCGATGAACCTTGTCGTCATGGACGAATTCTACACCAACAGCCCTCTTGTTGTTATCAAAAAGGATTTTGGTAGCTGTGGAGTTGAGCATTATATGAAGATTCGGTCGATTTCTAGCTGGTCGAAGAAATGCTCGTGACGTTGATAGTCGAGAACCATTTCTAGATGTTGTTTGAGCGATTGCGAATCCAGTATGCGTTCGTCCGTTTAAATCTACACTGCCATATCCTGTAAATAATGACAAACGAACAAAAATTAATTTCCTTTTGGATGAAACGTATTTTCTTTTTAATGTAGCTCGCCATAAACGAATTTTATATCTGCCATTTTTGAAATATCAAATCTTTTTCACAGATTTTAGTTTCCGTTACAAATTCTGCTGAGTTTTTCATGTTGTGTATTATCCTTTTTCATTGAAACCATTGAAATGTGTTCATGCATTCGTATTGATCTGTTTACACAGCCGATTCCTATACTTCGTGTAATAACGCTGCGTTTATGAAATTCAATGCGTTCAATGGATTCAGCTGAAAATCTAGGTGAGGATTTTGCGAATTGCATCAAACTGCAGGAAAGGAAGAAATGCAATTTATTGATTATTGTATGAGCCATTCGTTTACCAACACGATCAACTTCATAAAATATTAAGTAGAACAATCTGATGAATTATTATTATTATACATGTTAAGAGTCAGTCAAGTGATCTAGCAGGAGAATTCTAAAACATTCGAAAAGTGGAATTAGTTAATTTAACCTGTGAACTACTAATATTTCGAATGTATTAGATTAATGAAAATGTTGTATCAGTTTCTGAAATATAATAACCAACTTTGATTTCCTTGAAATGATTAGAGAGTAGAAAAATATCGACACTATTGATGATATTCGAACAATTCAATATTGAAATACTCCACTGGAAATATCGAAAGATATTTAGATATTCACGATTGATAAAGAATATTTGTTACAAAAATTATGAAGCAAAGTACTTACACATTTAAAGTATTATAAAATAAATAAAGATTAGAGTTTGCATGAGGATTGTATTAAAAAAATGCATGATCTTAAATTATGTGAACTCAACATGATTCGATAAATTCAATTTCGGGTCATGATCTTAAAAGACACAGCTCATTTATTCATCAACTGCATTAACCTTGTATATTCCCGGTCAAATTGTTTTTATTATAACTAAGCTGAAAGCCATTCACATATCATATCATCGCTGCTGTACTAATTAATTATCGATATGCGTTTTCCGGCGGACAATTTGACAGTGACGTAATATTCTCGACGAAAATGGTGTCGCAATTCATTAGCTGTGAGCTACGTTGACGTAACAACTCACTCGATGAACGTCGAAACAGTTCATTAAGTCCAAATGGGCAGTCCCGAATAAATAAAAAAGAAACGGTTCGTCGGTGTCTCGTAATAACTGGTTCCGTGCGATTCGCCTAAGTGGAATATGGTTCTGTTACCATTTTCGAGCGCTTGGCTTTTTGCGACTAGTGCTTGGTTCAACTAGATGATGATGGTTGTAGCAGAGACAGCGTAATAAGAAGTTAATGGACCTGACAAATTATAGTTACATCTGTTTTTTTTAACACTTCGACTGTCGTCACGTCACCTGAATGCGGGTGACACCATTTTTAAAATTATTGCCATTGGTATATTTTTATTAACAGTAAATACAGAAGGTACAAACATGAAAGAGTTCTTCATTTTCAAAAGAGGATCTAATACGTATAAAAATAACAGAAAATTATTTTTTGATCATTTATTTTTGTTTCTAAAGACATGTTTAAATAAATATACGATCACACGACAATAAAAATTGATCAATGATGTCGGATATTTGTTTCCAATTTTGTACTTCTACAACCTCTAATACTGTCAACTCTACTATTTTCTGTCATTATATTTCAAGCTTATCAATATACTGTCATTTTTATAAAACTGTACAAAGATTTTTCGACCAAAATCGATGAAATGACATCCTGTAAGTACATTTGTCGCCGAAATACGAGATCAAATAAAAAATGAGTAATCTATATTTACCGAGTTCCTTTCCAGCTTCAAGGAGAGCGTAACTCAATGGCGGGTGATAAGGAAACTGTGTAACTGTAAGAGGTCCACCAACACCATGATAACCATAATCCATAGTGTTAGCTTGGAGATTATCTTCGCTCCTGATGAAATATGGAAGGACATCTTGATAAGACCATCCTACGTTGCCAAGCCTGGCCCAGTCGTCATAATCCTTTCGCGAACCTCTCATATATGTCATTCCATTCATGACACTGGTGCCACCTAATACCTGAAAATATAAATTTAAATGGCTCAACAATTTAAATGGATTTTATCCAGGAAAATAGAAACAGATTAATGTGTTTATTCATTATGAAATAAGATAATAAAACAAATTTGTGGATAAAGCGAATATTTTATAACACTTCGATTTTAAATGTTAGAAATCCTTGAGTTATGACAATATTTTCAAGAGCTACAATGTATCCACTCTACTGTTCATAAAGTATCACTCAATGGCGATGTAAGATAACACCGATGACAAGATAGCCCGTGAAGGCAAGTGACTGCTACAGACTAAAAATGATTGTCAGTTACTCATAAATAGGAAGTAAATGTAGATTTAGTAGAACATAAATAGTTGATACTTATACTAATAGAGTACTTTATCAACTCTATGACGAATTTGATGAAATTTACATGGAAGATAGTTTTCGCGAAACTCCTTCAAGCTATTTCGATTAATGACTCTTTCTTCTACAATAATAAGAGACTTTCTTATTTTAATTATCGTCTTAATAATATTAGTCAAAATTCTTGTATCTTCCTAATATTATATAAACTCTCATTTTAACAAAAATGTATTGTTTAATTTTTATTATGTAAGACAATTAATATCATAATTATACTTGACATTTAAAAATTAGTATAATATTAGGGGGAAAACTGATTTTCGGTTACATACTTTTCCTCTTGGCCAATAGCATTTCCTGTCATCTTTGTTCAAACATGCTCCGTCTTCGCTTTCCGTGGTGTATTGCCAATCAATGTTAGATCCTATGAAATTGAAGAAAAACGATGGTATTTGTGTTCCGGTGGGTTCATCTAACCCAGCTTCCAGTAGTAACACCGAAAATCGTGGTTCCTCTGATAATCTGGCAGCCACTGTTGCGCCAGCACTGCCGCCTCCTATTACTACGAAGTCATACCTGAACATGAATATTCATAATCTTAATCTCACGTTATGATAAATTACTTGGTTATTTATATATATTATATTATATACTAGAACATTTCTCAACATATAATTCAACCAGCTAAATTATAGAAATTGCAAGATTTTAATACAACACACAACAAACCCAAGGAAATAACCTAAATTATCTCGGCTGATAATTTGCGTAAAAGCGACTTAATTAACAAGCAACCAAATAATGCGTACCGATGCATTATATGTCCTCAAGAAAATAGAATAAATTGAGAATGTTAATTTCAACTGTACTAATTTACCTTAAAAATATAATGAAATTTCTCTGATATCTCTCCTAATTTGCATACTTTCGTGCATCGCTATATTTAACATTTAGAAAAGTAATTAACGTGCGGCGGTTCACTGGCCATTGTAGACCGTATTACGTAAACGTCTCGAATTCGTTTCGTTGCGGTGTTAATTTCAATTTCAACGTTATTAGCCGTGCTCTTTTGCGAAAGGTGAGTCGCTATTGTGGACAAGGTTACATTGACGATTTCACTTTCTCCGGAGGACAGGTTCGTTAGTCGCCCGGTGTTTCCTCGAAGACAAAAAACTCTTGTTACAATGTCTTACGAATTAGAAACTGGGTTAAAGGAACGGGAGCCTCGGCTAGGGGCAGAGTCAAGCGAAAGGTGGATTTCTCAGCAGTGTTCGTTGGGGACGTTCGTGTATAGTCGTAATGGTATTTTGAATGCCACCAGGCGCGTACAGGCGTGTGCGCTACTCAGCAATGTACTTATGTACATATGGATGTATGAACACTTGCCTCTTTGAGGGACGACAACTTACTTTTATATGCTGAAATGCAGGTACGAGCCCCGAATGTCCTATACTACCGCAGATGACAAGTTTGAAAACATATTTTCTTGCGGTCACTATTTGAAATTATACACAGTCACATATGGAATTATATTATAAAAATTAGTTTCTTTAATAAACTCCTGATATTTATGCAAATATCGGAAACTATTTTACATGAATTTATTTGATCTACAGATCATGTGAAACAGTGATACGAATTTCATCATGTGGTTTTAATGTGTTTTATATTATATTATAAGTATAATATACGCACAGATTTAAGGGAATGTATGATTTCAATATTTATTTCTAGAGATATACTTTAAATTAAATCAGAAAAATCTTTTTTAAAATTTTCATTAGGAGTAAATAATAGGTCTAATGATTTTATTTACATATAAGTTACGTGTTGTGTGTTGTTCGTAATGTGAGAGACTAGATTGAATAACATTATTTTAGTGGTATTACATAGTATTAAAAAGTATGTCCTCATTTTTTGTTGAAATGTTATCGTATGGAATAATAACCATTGTTCTATACTTTATTAGTTTAAAAATTGAGTTCGGAATGTTACAAAACAATTAGGGTAATCTTTCTTAGTTGGAAACGCATTGTGTTCTTTTATAATAAACTGATATGGAATTATTCTGCATCAACTACTGACTATTTAATAAAGATATTTAAGTACAATTACATTTCGTGTGTAATTACTATTTCTCGTTTCTGATTACTAAATAATTTATATTTCGAAGTGTACGTAAATGTATATTTTACCGATGAGATTAATGAATTATTATTTTTATCTTCAACCCTGTTAAACAGAGGAGCTAAATGTCAAGTAAAGTAAATTCGTGTTCAAATATGACTAGGGATTAGCAATTGACTCTGATCATAAGCATATTCAACTTTCAATTAATTTCAGTTCATTAACCTTTGTGAGTTGAACTCAATTCATTATTAATCTGAATGGCAATAAGGCAGTTTGAAGGTCCAATTGTCATGTATGTGTACCTGAACCAGAAACAAACCCGTTTCTGACAGTGTCAGCGAAACGAGTATCGAATATATTGAAATATGTTTCGTTGCCATAATTTTAGTAGAATTTATAAATATTTCTATAATCATAATGAGAAATTTATACATTACTTAATAGTTCATTACAGGTTAATCCACTGCATATGAAAAGGTCCATTAAAGATATAATTTTCAGAAAAAGTTTCCATAATTTTTTATAATGTATTTTTAATAATATATGCGTGTCTTTTTTCTGTCTATGTGGCACTATAATGATGTAATTAAGATATGTCGTTATTATTATTGTAAGTAATTTAATTTTTCGCTTTGTACAAAAGCATTCAATAGGTTAATTCAATTTTTTTTTAAATATATAATCATGTTATAAACTATATGACTTTTAGATTATTTGGTATTTAGTATTTCGATCGATATCAATTGTAAAATATGATATTCTGTATAATAATTTGTTTCCATTTATATAATATGAAGCGTAATAATTTAAGAATTTTTCAACGGCCGCAATTATCATATGAAATATATCATTCCTGTCTGATGACGTAGTTATTAATGGTGATAATGACAGTGGCCACTGAAAATGAGGAAATACATTTCGGTTGAAGAATGTGGTTTCGTATCAAATATTGAAACAGGTTTTCATAATCAACCTGTAAGTTGGGTATCTGCACTGGTTTTATTGTACTACCAGTGGACCTTAAAATTTATAACTTTAAGCATAAAACAGAATCATCTTTCGATTCGTTCATTGAATTTCCGGTTAAAGACACAGCTTGTCTTTACAAGTTATTTCTTAATAGCTTTTTTACGATGCCTTCATTGCATAAGAATAAAACTCGATTTTATAGCATAACTACTTTGTACTTTACGATTGATCTTTTTTGAAATAGTGAAGGCAATGTATAAATGAATTTTAATTACGTTTTTGAATTAAATGTATGAAAATGAGAAAGTAAATAATTACGATTGAAACACTAGTAAATTACGCGTTTAAGCGAGACAGATTTTTATACAATTTTCGATCATATTTTATCATTTTCATAATATGTAATATACAGTTACTCGTAAAAGTCCACCTACTCATATATTACACTTTACATATTTAACAAATGTTAAAGTTCGAGGTACCAAATATATGTAATTTACATTATCATAAACCGTGACACATATACACTCTTGACGGTATGCATGTTGACGCCGTGATATATTCCCGGAATTTGTAACTTTCTTTCCTTATATTATATTATTTGTTTACGTTCTTTCGGTTCCTCCTGTCGTTGGTTATATTCTGCATGACCTATACTTCAGATTAGTATAAAGCTTCGAAGGGTAAGTAGTACTGTGTCCATCAAATCTAAAGGTTATTAAACGTCGTATTAAATATTCTCTTTATTATTGTTTTATGTTATAATTTCATTTATAATTAACATCAACATAACTTCCGATTTACAACTAAGCTAAAAAATGTTGTTTTGTAAATGATTTACTTAAACAACATTAATTATTGGCTTATTATTTAATATACTATACTATAATAGCATATTATATAAACTATATTAATATATACCTATATTTTTAAAAAAAGTTTCATCGCAATAGATATGAAAACAATACAAAATATATTTCCTACTTTTATTTAAATGCCCTACAAATCTATAATAATCTAAAAGAAATGAGAATTTGCTAATTAATGTTAGTAATGGTAGAAAACCAAATATTTTGAACTTTCGTTGACGATCACTTTTAGCTCACTTGTACTCTATTGCGTTTAGTTCCATAGAATTAACTGTAATTTGCATGAGATTTTCCCTTAGTTATATTACGTTGCGCTCATGATGCGAGAATGTGTGCTCCGATTTACTCGCTGTCTGGGTATAAAGATAAACCACATCAAAGTCTCTGATTAAAATTTTATCTTGCCTCCTTATTTCTGGATAATCTCCGACCCCATGTAATACATTAATTAAATCTGTAGCTGTAGAATTCTGTATTTCTTTCACCTTTATTCTATATCGTTTAATTCTAGTCTTAAATGAATTATCGGCAAATAAAAAGTTCCCTTAGTCGAATTAAAAACGAACAAATTGCACTAAACATATAAATAACTTCGTTGTTCTATTCCTGGTCTCTTACTTTCATATACTATCCACTGTTACTGAATTGCATACTCCAAACGAGATAGACAAATTTAGAAAAGACGCGACACATTCGATTTTCAGTAATCATCAATAAATAATATTTTCCTTTTGATTGAAAAATTATAAATTTGATTTTCCAATTGCTTGATATACAATGATACAGCACTTTTTACAATATTATTATATCCAGACACAAACTGTATTGTACTTAGACTATACACATCGATAAACTTGCTGCATTGCATACACTAGATTATTTTGAAATGTTCTACTTTATACAAAATGATTAATAAACAAAATTAGTGTTACATAGGTAAAAAGGTTATAGCGCAGTTACAGCATAAAATAGGTAAAAACAAAATTCTTTACCGAAGACTGCCAAATCTCTCAATTAATTTCCAGCGCAAGAGGTTAATAGGACATTGTAACGATGAAGATCGCTGCTGAAAGAAACCGTGGTCGCGAACGTGTTAATCGAAAACGGAGTCTAATACGCCATTGTCGAATAAGATTTGCCGACAGTTTCATTGAGCATGCCAATGGAATGGCAGGTTGCTCAATAATTCACGTCCCATTGGCTTTGATGGACTTTCAATCTCTTTCAATTATCATTCCTCATCATTCTCACTTTCCTCGGGTTACGGTGAAGATCTAATACGCTCGAGGCGCCGCCGGTTGCTTCAGTCCGCATCCGGTGCATAAGTGCAAACGCGGATGCATCGGCTAGATGTGATGTAACGTGAGAGAATCATCGGAACAATGGCCCCCCGGGCTATTACACGTAGACACACGTACGCAACAATTTTACGGATAGTCGTGCATGGATGCTCACTTCCGAGGGAGAGACAAGACTGGAGTTTCTATGGCATTACGTGAACCGTGTCAGTGACAATTAACTCTGTCTTTCGTCCTGGCTTCGATCAACGGATGCTCTAGGAAGTTTACTCGTCCGGCGCAGACATGTTAGGTCTACCGGAAACTTTTCTCTATTTTTGGATTTAACCACTGACACCAAACGTACCGACACTTTCTGTTTACTTATTCCTACCGTAACCAGTCGAATAAGTATTAGGTTATGCTATAAATAATGCGGTTTTCTATATTTTGTTTATTTTTAAAAATGAAGATAAACAATAGCTTTTTTAAAGTAATTATAGTGTATTGATCGACAATTTGTAGATAATGAAGGAGAATATACTTTAGATTAAAAACAATTTTGTTCGTCTTTATTTTTAAAAATAAAAGAAATATGAAGAAACGCATCGTTTATGGGGTGACCCAAGGTTTATAAAATATAGATAAACAATTCAGACGATACGTTGTTCTTAATGAAAACAGACACGAAAGTAAAGACGAAAATTGAAGATCTGATTAATCGGAAAATATAGGAATTTATATAAAGTTAAATGAACAAATGGAAAGGTAAAGTTTTCAATCGAATTTTAAAACGTCATTCGATTGGTCGCGGTATATTTAGTGTTAACTCTTTAACAGCGATAGTTGCAGTATGGTGTGTTCGCAACTATCTATTTGTTTATTATTTCCGTCTTTATTATGTTTATTAGATCTAAATTTCCTTTCTCGTTAGAAAATTAATTATGTTGTAAAAAAACAATAAACTCAAAAGAAAAGAAGAGTGAAATTAAAGAAATTGCAAAACTCCGCGTTGCAGCGTTGACTCACGCGAAAGAATTCCGATTAATATTAAATATTTTCGTTTGTAGCAACTAATAAACAAACTTATTGCGTTCATTTGGTTTTACTTATTCAAATACTTCTCATAGCAATAGTGTTAACTATATAACGAAAATTTCACTGGTTTTCAAATTCACGACATTGTACATTGAAGTCTGTGAGACCGCAAGTACATATTTAAAGCTTGAAACAAAATGAAACATTTTCAATACATTTATTAATGTTTATTGAACAATATCATTTCTTTACTAATGACTTCTTCCCAGGGTGATGGTAATTCGCGTATTCCATTTCTGTGGAATGACTCATGTTTGAAAACTTGAAATGACATTATCGGACAGTACTTTCCGCTAGACCTAATATTTTCCCGGTCTTTTTCCCTCGCTCTAATAATCTTATCCTTTGCACCGCACGGAGAGATTCTTTTTTTTAAGTTTAAGGTTTCCTGTATTGTGTAAACACTCCATTTTCTGAAGTTTATGCCGTCCTCTTCCTGTGCTCGTGCGTCTACGTTATCCTACATCGGAACGATGATTTTCATTTTCGTTTTTTTTTTCGAAAGTATAATGCCGCTTGCTTTGATCTTGGTAATATGTTAACTGAACCATATCGATGAATTGGAATGTTTGAATGATGAAAGAGAATAAAACAATTACTGATATCCTTTCGATTTTGCGCATAATTTACAGTGATCCTTAATTGTGCGCAACGTGTATAAAAGCTCAGAAGTTCTTCTGAAATCACGAGGTCTAATTAAAGATGTATTTTCAGTTCCGAGCCATGAACGCTTACATCTTGAACATAATTTGCATTAATCTCGAAACCACCAACATAATTGGCACTTTCACTGCACCTTAGCACGGCCGGAATGTGATCGCGCAATAAAGAAGATAAAGTGAACTTACATGAACTTTTTGTATTACAGTGGGATTCGAGGGAATAAAATGTTTATTTTTGTTGAATTCCTGTTGTCGCAAATCTTCCTAATTACAAATTCGTATAAATATACACCGTTCGATTATAATATCAATGTCTGGATAATATCATTTCTTTCCTGATTTAGAACGTTAATCGTATCAAGTCACGCTTTTCAACGATGACCCAACTACTTTTACTTCGGTCCCATCAAAGCGAAACGAGTTTTTTTGCCATTGAACCTTTTTTTATCAAAGAACTTGGCTTGCCTGCCATTATATTTTGCTCGGCCGTGAACTGTATTGGAAGTTTAATCCGCGTTTAACCTTGATTGGTTTTACCTGGAGTTGACGTTGTTGGGCGGTACAGGTCTGTTGCAAGGATCTTCAAGGTCGCATTGACTGCGTAGGAACACTTCGAGGAGACCCATAAAGAGCATGAAAGATGAACCACCGCATGTTGATGCAAGAGTCGGACCAGTTGATTGAGTCAGAGGGCAGTTGCAGCTCATCTATAAACAAATCAATGATAATTTGTGGTTTTAAAAGTTACTTGACAACTTAAATTTCCGTTGGTAATATGGACCATTAACCTCTTGACCTATAATATCGTGACGAACATTTAAAACTGAATTTAAGAAATCTACGTGTTATTTATGCTTTCTGAATATAAATTTAATATTACTTTTCTATTATTAATTGTTAACATTTCAAGTAAATGTAAACGTAGAATAAGTGTCAACATTTTTTTCTTTTCCTAGAAAATTATTAAGGATAGAGTAGTTGTATCAATTATAGTTAAGAAATAAATCATAGGGCGAGGGGTTAAAGGCTTGCCGAAAATCTCATTCCTTCATGACTTCACCACGGGTTTTCATTTCTATTGCAAAATTATATAAAGATTTGGCTAAAGTTGCCTTTTGTATATTGAATTAGGAAGTATAATAAAGATTTAGGAATTTTTTCAAGTCATTACAGAACTTGTAATAATCAAGAATAAAGAATGATAATAGAAGGTCCATTTATCGGCCATGTTGGTAAAAAACCAAATTGCTGTCGGAAAGTTAAATTAGATACGAGTGGATCTTGTAAAAGATGTAATGCGAATCGTTTTTATAAATGTTTGAACTCTCTATTCTTTTCATTATCTCCGCAAACATTTCTGCATTCCCTTTTTGATGTCCTCATATATACCTAGTTGATTTTCATTCGAATCTACGAGTTGTAACGTTTAGTCTGCAAATATTTATAGAAACGTATATATTTGTGGATCAATATGTGGAAGCAAATACAAGAACGATATTCATATCTTTTATTAACACCTACTGAGATAAAGAAGAATTAGCACTTGTAACAAACCCTATGATAAATATTAAGTTTTCAGTTCCCGTTTTGGGAACTTCTGTAGTATATTTTAATAAAAATATGGTTCAATAAATTATGGGGTAACTGATTTATAGATTGATGTTCGATCTCTTGTCTAACCCAATAACATCAGTCAAAGTTATCCTAACTCCGAAGTTGGTAGTAAATTGAGTTTTCTACTGTAATAACGCCCAGATGAAACGGCTAATTCCTGACATTTTCGATCATTAATTTGCTATTCAATACGGTTACACGTAACCAATCGAAACTGTATAATTATAAATTAGAAAGACATCTCTTGCTTCTTGACGTTCCGCTAGACATTAAATCATCTTCTAACTCTATATACTGTGCGTTGCTCAGAAGATGAGCCCTGCAAGGGACACGGGTATAGTTGGTTAGCTTTTATCTTTTCTCAGGGTATTTTCAATACTAATTTGTTATTCGTCGATACAGTTACACATAACCAGCAAAATTATATAACTATAAATTAGAAAGACACCTCTTGCTTCTTGACGTTCCGCTAGACATCAAGTCAACCGTACGTCCTTCGAGTCGAAGGGGTTAATTATTTGCAGGGTAAAAGTCGCGACAATCTGAAAGGAATGAAAGCGACGGAGTCCGGTCACGAACTTGCGCAATCGATGCAACGAATCCGTAACGAGAATGGTGACCGATCCTCCTCCATTCTTCATTTCATTTTTGTACAGCAGGAACAGGCAAGGATTCTTCAGCGAGACGCGGCAGATCGTGTCGGGCTTTCTAATGCGACCAAAAAGACCCCAGTCCACTGTTTGCATTGCAATTCTGCAACGATGTTACAGTTCTTTTTTTTTACACGGCGGCGTTTCCTCTTCCTACAATCCTCATTGTGACCGCTGACGTTCTACATTCTATAATACAATGATCTCCAACTAAGGTGAACACCCATTGTTTTACAAATGCAGATAGACCGTTGGAATACTGTTGTGCGTCTCCTCGCTTCTCATTGTTCGCAGTTCTTTCCACGCGACATTTTTCCTTTCCTCTTTTATGCATGAAGAATTCCGAGTAGAGCCAATCGTGCTTATCGCGTTTCAAATTGTAACTTAATTGGCACCTTATCCGCGATCTCTTTCCTATAAACGATTTTAACAATGGTCTTTCATCCAGCGTGGTGTACTGATTATTATCGAACGTTGTATATTGTTGCTTTCACGCACGAGATCTAAAGTGTTTCATTATTTCAATGAAGTGTTCTAGAATTCGCAATTTTCACCTGCTTTAGTTAGCTGCTTTTTTCAAATATATCGTGTTATCTTCTATCAACTAAATACATAGTTTCATTCTTTACTGTTTAGTTATATGATTTGGATTGCAATGATTTATTATTGTAGTTTACACCCGCGTAAATCGTCTCCGAGAAATGTTTTGATTAATTTTCCGATACTTTTTCAATCAATGCATTTTATTGTTAATTGCAATGAAGTACTGTTATATAGTAAATATTTTTCATTGTCTTCAATAATAGTTTTTAATAATAATAACACCTTCGCTCTGATTTCGCAATTCTGTATAAAATACACGTGTTTTTACAAGTAAAATTATACGGTACACGAATGCTTAGTTTATTAACGACTTGTCTGAGCCGATAAACGTGTCAATCACATTTTATTTTTTTGTTTGAAAGCTGACTTAATCACTTTCATTTTATTTTAAGCATTCACAAAGGTTGCTGACTTTTTAATTTATTCTGCTTCGAAATTCTACTGTTATCGCTATGTTTAGTCGTCTAACGGTGACTTATTTCGTCATATTCAATAAATCAGAGTCCCATTCGGTGTCTACCTTTTCTTGGGATTATCTCATTTAACTGAAGACGAAATAAAAAAAAAAGGAAAAGTGACAAGAGACAGGCGATCAATACGTAAATGGACATTGCTAGTGTGAATAGACAAGATTACGTATTGTATAGACGCACACCTACAATACCGTTACGTTCACTGACCGAGAACCACGCGCGCGTGTCTATTTGCCAATTACGAAAGTCACGCAGTTCAGCTGCTTCTCATTTTTTATCAGTTTTCCTTGATATTTGAACGGTGCTTGGATAGTTGTTCACATGTATCGAGTTAGTCCTTAAGGTGCAGATACGCTGGCAACGGACTTGCGACATTATTTTGTTTTTTGACAGCTGTTTTCACGACACACGAAATACATTTAAGATTGTCGACCGTAACTTCAATTCACTTGTGATAATAATAAAATAAAATGCAATAAAATGAAATAAATCGAAATAAAATGAAATTAATTGAAATGTAAACATTTCTGCAAGTCTTTATCAGGAATAAAGGTTGCAAATTATTTGTTAGTGTATCTGCACTTTTATGTTAGCAAACGAGTATATACCAAGGTAGCTATTTTTATATTTTTTTTTATACAGTTCGTTTTGTTCTGGTGAAAATTTGACAAATTTTACGTTGATTTGTGCTTTGAAAATGAAATTCTTTCAGAACGAAGAAATATAAATTTTCGAATGCGGTGAATCTATGTTGACAATACAGCCGTGCTTCTCTTGATTCACACAGCGCAGACTATAAAAATGCAATATATGAATACATAATTGCAATTTCTAAAGACGAGCGAACTAATTTTTTTCTCCAATTATGAGACACTTCCGTCACGGTTACGAAACGGTTTTAATGTATCGTATTAAACGTGTTCCCGGAGGAAAAGTTCATTTATGGTTACTGGATTCTTAGAAAATAGAATTCTATCAACATCTGGTACAATTTACATCACGTTGGGAACAATAAATACATAGAATTGTATAATAGTAACGTAAATGAGGAAGCGTCCCACACTTTCTTCGGTGATCTTTACGACAGAGAAATTATTCTAACTATGAATTATGCATGCATTGTTGTGTTGTAATACTTTAAACATAGTGTTAAATAATCGTAACATTTTTTTGTAGATTACTTGGATGATTCATAAATTCTTCGAAATGATTCCAAATGAAAATGAGAAGGAAATTGATAATTTATTAAATAATAAAAAGAAATTACTTATCAAACAATAGCGATGTTTTGTGAATAGAATATTGATTATAAGAATTTCTATAGGACTTAATTAATATATTCATATTCATAGAGAAAAATAATTTTTTATAAACCGCGCTAGGGCGGTTTTTCTATTAAATAAGACAAAAAGTAAATAATCGTGGATAATTATTGGCACAAGATTAGTGCTAAACAATTAATTAATCGTACAAATAACTCGAGTTAAATTACATATATTTTTGTTTATGATGGCCTCATTTCCACTTCAATGTCGTAAGGTTTTCTTGTATAAATAGAAATTAAAAGTTACCTGCAGTATATGCTTACAGACACGTAGTCTCTTACGCGATTGCAGAACATGTCGAGGGTTTCAATTCTCGTGTTATCATGTTTCGTTGTACTTGAGCGTTAGCCAAGATACAAAAGTAGATACACATGGAATCACTGGAAAAACGCCAGAAGGACCGAGAAGAATGGAGCTGGAAGAATGCATAATGTTGGCTTGCATGTTTGCTATTCTCATGTATGTACATACATTCAATTGCATCAAACCTTTGTGCTTTGTGGACGAAACTTTCAAAGTATTCAAAACCTCCATCATAGGAAGCTGTATTGTATGTTGAAAAATTGAAAAATTAACCAAAAAGAAGACTATTCACTGATGTTGATTGAACAACAAACAACATTGATGTTATCTAAACAATTAAATTACATATTTGCAACTCTTACTTCTACACATTTATTCTCAAAGGATTGATAAATTTATTAATTGTCGCGTTGATCATACACCGATACACATGCTTTGCCCAAATTTAAAAATTAATTTTTACATGCATTTTATATAATTTATTTATATAATTATATTATATTTGTATGTAATTGTAAATTAATTTCTATTTAAAAAAAGATGAAGGAGTAATCATTATGATAAATCTTTATTTTGTAACTACTATATCATCAGGGAACTATACTACATTAGCATTGTGAGCTTTTATAGATGCTAAAATATTTTCAATTGAGAACGATATTTGTTTCGTTTCTTATAATAATGTATCTCAAACAATTCATGTATGATCTAAATCACAAAGATCTATTTATTAAACATT